AGTATGCATCTATTAAAAAGTTTAGACTTGCATTAGGACTACAAGTGAGGAGGATGATTGTTGAAGACTAAAGAGCAACCAAAGCTCACAGAAAGTCTGTGTTAAGGATTCAGGTTAAAATTAATATTATTATTTCTTTTTGTCTTCACTGTTGCAAGTGTGCTAATAAACTCACACTCCATTCCCTGTTCCCTGCTCCTCACTCCCCTGCTCTCTGATTTTCATTCCCCCACTCTCTGCTCCTCATTTCCCTGCTTCTCGTTATTTTTTAATAATATTTATTATTTCCAGCCAGCAGGTGGAGCTCTAGGCTTCTTTTTTCATGGTTATCATGCTACAACTAAAGCTGGCCTGAACTCCAACAGTTCAGACTTGCTAACTATAGGGAACATCTAGAAGTGTTCATTGTGCCTAAGCAGTACCCTGAAAATGTACAATTTGCATGAAATTCCACCTGAAAAATAGATGTGTCCTTCCTGGTATTTGAGAGTACCTAGGCACCCCTGTGTTCACAGCCTCATAGTTGTATATCTGCAGTGTGAGAGCTAAGGCACTGTATCTCTGACTACAAGTCTCAGGAGATTTCAATACTGTGCTGCTCACTGTTCATCTTGCTGGAGGCTCTGACACGAGGAAGCAAAGTCCTTCCTCTACCAAGATGGTCATAGATCCTCGTCAATCACAATAAACGACGCCTGCAGACTCGACAAAATAAAAAAAGTCCACTTGCCCACGACAGGTCCGCACCCGCTGCAAAATGACAGGTCCGGGCTGAATGTAAACAAATGGGCAGAGCGAGTCGTGAAGTCACGACTCGCTCCGTCCATTTGTTCTTATTATATGCCAGCTCACTGTCCTTCATTACATGCCAGCTCACTGGGGGTTTCAACAATAAAGGACTGGCTTTTTCAAGGTGTTGTGTGTTTATTTACCATTTTGTTTGCTTGGTGTATATATACATTAGATAGAAAGACAGATAGATAGCAATAAAGGTTAAGAAAGCTTATTTGGATAACAAAAGCAACTGAAAGAGTTGCTGTGTTTCTTTACATTATTGAAGGTATGGAATGTTTGAAATCCAGAAAATGTTTTGTACCTGCGCTGTGCTGCAAGCCCCAGATCCACATGTTTTCACCTTACTCTGTAACTCTCTGGAGACCACACAAAGAAACTCCGGCTGCCCTTCACTGCTGTAACTATATGGGGAGCCCACATTCACCAACTGTAGAGTATAAGAAACAAAAAGAAGCAGTAAAACAGAATGTTTGTGCAATCATCTTAATACCTAAAGAGAGTTGGTTACTTTTCCCATTTCGGTTCTGTTGACAGGCCAGACAACCCTCCGCACCAACTGATACTCACCTACACCACGCTCTGTATATGGAAGAACATGTGGCCTTCTCTCCCTCCTCCCAAGATGCAGTGTCCACACCTGAGTGGCCTCAACACTGTGCAGTGGAGAGGGGAAGAAGATCATGAACCCTGTGAAAGCTCCAATAAAGACTGACTAGGGACATACACAGGAATTAGACCCACACCTAGGGTCTAATCCAGGGGCGGGAAAACCCCAGCCCTCCAGCTGTTGTGCAACTTCAAATCTCATGAGGCATTGCAAGATTCTCGCTGACACAGGTATGATTCCCAGAGGCGGATGCATCTTGGGATTTGTAGTTTCACGACAGCTGGAGGGCTGGAGTTTGCCCACCCCCCGGTCTAAACCCTGTGTAGTGGCAAGGGAGCACAGAAGTATTTTTATAGATTGAATGCATGATGACTGATACAATGATAAAGGTTAAGGCCTTGTTCACACCAAATGCAGAGCAGATCCAGTCAGGTTTCTGCACACGCAGTGCAGTGGGTTGTGCCGCGTTTTTGATGCGTTTTTGCCGCGTTTTTGATGCGTTCAGGGCCGCTTTTGCTAAAAAAAAATGTATTTTTTTTTTAAGTTTAACATGGGCTTTCAGACACTTGCATGCGTTTTTGCTTTTTGCATGCGTTTTTGATGCGTTCCAGAGCAGATCCAGAGCAGGTAAAATAGGGCTTGCCGCAGTTTTTTCACCTGCTCTGGATCTGCACGCTGCGATGTGAACTGGAGGTCAAAATACCATAGGAATACATTGGACGCAGTTTTGATCCGGTCTGCACCTGCTCTGCTCTGGATCTGCTCCGCGCTTGGTGTGAACAAGTCCTTAAGCTCACCACACGCATCACAATATGATTCTACAATCTTCTATAGGTTCAGCATACACATTACAATCTGACCATGTAATCTCTGTCTAATCAACTTCAGATTGGCCAAAATACAAGCACCTACCAAATCTATCCAATCAATGTGTACCCAAACAAGCAGGCCCTTGCATATAGTTATTGGAAGATCTAAAGGAGACTGTACATTTATATTGTAACATGTGTGGTGAGCTTTAGATCTACCAACCAGCATGTAATCCTGTCTGACTGGATAGAAGAGAGTTTAGGTGGGTTTATTGTTCACAGATTGTATGGTCACATTGTAACATGTAAAGTAAGCTCCAGTAAAAACTTTTTTCTAGTTTTTAGTTGACATGGAAAGAGTAAATACAAATAAGTGGATTTTGCTGTTTGTGAGCAAGAAGCAGAAGACCCTTTCACATCTGAGTCCTCCTTCACGTCAGATGCTCGTCCCCCTTCATTTTAGTAGCCCCTTTTCACGTCAGAGCCCCCCTTTAATATCAGACCCCCACCTCTCTTCCAGATTAGAGTTCTCCCTTCACATCAGGAGCCCCCATCATGTCAGAAGCGCTCTTCACATCCGAGTTCTACCATAACACCACAATAAGCAGCTGTGGCAGCATGGCAGAGGGAAGAGGCAAACTTCTGTCCTTTTCTGAATCCTCCCTCCCTGGATTGTCGTTAGATATTCATTTCCATGGTTCTGGCAGCTGGCCTGCACCATGGAAAGGCATGACACTGTGCAAACATTTCAAAGCACCCCTAGGGAAGCCAGAAGGCACACAGGTAGGAAAAGGCTGCTGTAGATACAAAAGATCTGGTGACTTAAGCCCCACCCCTAAACAGGTCACATCTGTTGTTGCGCTG